AGTGATAATCGATTATTGGTCCTCTCAGAAGTTTCTGGGTTTTGGCTGCACAGGTTGATAATCGATTATTGCATAAGTGATAATCGATTATTGCGTGCTTCAGAACTTTGGAGTTCCAAAGCTGCAGGGGCTGATAGTCGATTGTCACTAAGGTGATAATCGATTATCACCCAGCTAAAGTCTAGCCAGCTGAAACCCGTTTTGAAAAACCGAGGTCCAAAAACGAAGTGTTCCCAAAAGTAAAAACCAAGTTTGAAAAACATTGTATATGGTATAAAATAGTGAAAACAAGACTTGTTCGGTAAAAACCAAGTCTCCAAGGTCGTACATCACGTGCGTACGGTTTTGACCGTTTTTCACGTGTTAGACCGATTGACCAAGATACAAAAGTGGTTTTTATGAAATAATTATTTGGGAACATTTTAAATATGCTCAGAGATCAAAAAAAGGTTTAAAACATAGAAAACCACCGAGTTGGTTCGGGCGCCAAAAAACCGAACGCCGAGTACCGTACGCCGACTTAGGTGATTTTGGTTCTGAGCAAGGACCAGGGATTTTAACAAAAAAATTTATCAAAAATGTTGATTTTGATGCACAAAAATATTTTATGATTTTGTAAAATTATTTTGACTCTTTGAGAACCGAGACTTGAATTGACTGTCGGTTTTGATCACAAAAGACCGACTCGACTAAGTCTTCAATTCTTGATCTTGTCCTTGAGTCTTTTAGGTCTTGTTCCATGCCATTCTTCACGCCTTGAGTTATTCAACGAAACTCTTCATATCCACGGCGGTTTGGCAATTATCAAAACCTGTCAGAAATGAACACGACTTTGGTTAAATGTGCAAAGTGTGTTCCAACACACAACATCACCATGCACAAACTTGAAAAACGCAATTGAAAAACAAAACTAGGTCGCAATGCAATCCCTCACAACAAGACCATGCATCTACTGGAAAAACTCAATTGAACAACAAAACTAGGTCACAATGCAATTGTCGCAGGTCGGAAACTAAAATTCAGTACCTTCGGTCGCTTCGCCATTTGCTTTATCGCAGGTCGCTTATCTTCATCAGCAATATCATCCGATCTAGTGTCCTCTTCGTCCGTCATCTTCTTCGATTAAGATACAATGCGAAGTAGGTGAATTGGGAAGCAATTGAATTGTGAAGCAGAGGAATTGTGAATTTATCTTGTTTTTCGATTTGGCGCTCTGATCGAAGAACTAATGATGGCTAACGGGTAATTCGATTGGTTTTGACGGCTACTGGTAACGGAGACAGGTTATGATGGCTAACGGCGACTCCTATGTGGGGGATTTAATCTTCTGACTCCTTTTTTGGGCTTTTATCATTGTTTTACTCCTATTGGGCTCCTTCTCCCTAAATATTGAAATGGAGGAGAACTCTCCATGCGGTCTAATTCTTCGGCCAACTAATGTTTGCTACTTTGCTCCTTCACGTTTCCTTCTCTTTTTTTTTCCTTTTGACTTTTCTTTTGTTTTGACATTTCAAAGATATAAAGGATTTGGTAATTGGATTTCAATGCTCCTTATTAATCGGGCTGACTTTGATTTTGGCCCAATCACTTCTTCCTTTCTTTAATTTGGCTCCAATCTCCTGAGGTCCAGCTCTTCATTTCCTTCAATTCAACTTTTGATGTTTTAAAATATATCTAAAGAATTTTGTCAAGAAAAATAACACGTCCAAAAATAATTATCAAAATAATAAAAATGCTCAAAATCATGTATTTTATGTATAATATGCAAACAATGGCCTAAAATGCTAAATAGAACAAAATGTGGTTATTTAGGTATAAAATGCATATTAAATATCTTAAAAGTACTAAGAAATGAGGGAATAAAAGATGACATTTTGTGACTTAACAATAACCAAACTCTTCAACTGTTACATGTACTGACAACCCAACTCAATCTTGACTCGTTCAAGGATAATTAACAACATCAAACGTACTGTTACATATACCGATAACCCGGTTTCAGTCTTGGATGTTACAAAGATAACAAAACTCTTTAACTGTTGCATGTCTTGACAACCTAACTCAATCTTCACTCGTTTAGGGATAATTACGAATATCAAACGCACTGTTAAATATAACAATAACCCGGTTTCAGTTTTTACAGCAGCTATGGTACCAGTATTGTTGGAACATGGGTTTACGCCTACGTTGTACTAAACTGTGTTCGTTTTATGACAGGTTTTGATAATTCCAAACCGCCGTGACATAACAGTGCTAAATTGAGCAAAACCAAGGCGAAGGAGCATGGCTTGATGATTTGAGAACCAAGAACCAAGAATCAAGAACGAAGATGTAGTATTGTATTGAGTCGGTCTTAATGTGATCAAGAACGGCACAAACTTTCAAAACTTGGCTCTTTAGGCTCATTTCATCAAAATACTTTTTGCAAATTCAAAAATGTTTTTCATAAGTTTTAAACTTGCCTAAAAACACTTGGAGTTCGCCCAAATAAAAAACCAAGCCATCCGGCGTTCGGCTTTCAGAAACCGGCGTTCGGCTTTCTGAAACCGGCGTTCGGCTTTCGGTTATCGGGGTTGGTTTTTGGCGCCCGAACCAACCAAGTGGTTTTCAACTTTTTATGACTGGTTTTTACTTCTGGGCATATTTAAATCGTTCTCCAACAAAAACTGCTTCAAAAACCACCTTCCGTTTTTGGTCGTTTAGTGAAAACCATACGAAACGGCGGAAACTTGGTTAGCCGTGGTTTTCATTTAAGTGACATGGTTTTTAAGATGTTTTACTTGATTTCTTAGCAAAATGCAATAAACAAATGTTTTCAAAACTTTTTTTTCATTTTTGAGAACTTACATTTTTGACATCGGCTAACGGCTGACTAAACCAACCATGGGTCTGGCTAAAACCAGCCCAACAGTGATGTTGGTGAAACCAACAGCGTTGTCTGGCTTGGGTAGCTGAAAACCATGGTTTGGCGTTAAGTCTTCCAACAGCGATGTTGGATATTAGACATCGCTGTTGAGCCAAGGTTGGGTTTCCAGAAACATCTTGAATAGCGATGTAGCCTTCCCTACATCGCTGTCCAACCTAAGCCAAAAATAAAGTGCATTGGCAGAAAGTTTTTGGACAGCGATGTTGACCCAGCAACAGCGCTGTCAGGCCAAACTTCCACCTTCTAAGTCAAACCTAAACAGCGATGTTCAAGTAATGAACATCGATCAATCTAGGGACCTGACCGTTGGAAGAAATTTAAGGCTAAAACTTTCCTTGTTTGGAAGTCAACAGCCAATATAGCGATGTAGGGTTTTTGGACATCGCTGTTGGCATGACCGTTGCTTCCTAATTTTAAAACCCAAGCCTAGAACAGCGATGTCCAAGCTTAGGACAGCACTGTCTGGGTGAATTTTAGCAAATCCAAATTTAATCAAATCCAACAAACTATGCCAATCACCCCTTAAATGTTTTGATCCGTTGGAGCCTATTTTTCCACTATAAAATGGGGTGTTTGGGTCTGTTTTACATATCACATTACTTCACAACTCCTACTCTTTCATTGCAAATCATTCATCCTTTATTCATAGCTTTTTGAGAGCCATTTTTTGGGAAGCTTGTGTTGTGTTCTTGAGCGTTCTTAGTTACTCATTATTCACTCTAAAAGAGAGCATTGTTCTTGAGTGTTCTTAGTGTTCTTAGACACTTGACAAGAGAAAATACATCTCTTATTGTTCGAAGGAAGGGTTGTTTCCTTCGAAGGTTCGTTGAGGTTCGTGTGACTCGAACTCTTAAGTTGTACGGGTTTGTTAAGCACCGTTAAGCTTAACAAGATAGTAGTGTAGCTCGAGAGAGTCTCTCGGGAGGCTGGATTAGCCACAAGTTATGGTGAACCAGGGTAAATTCGGTGTGCCTCTTACTCTTCTCTTTACTTCTCGTTTATTCATTTTTTTAATTCCTGCGATTTCTTGATCAAACGCTATTATTCTAACAATTGGTATCAGAGCCTAACTCGCGTCCAAACTTAATCGTTTGAGAGTAAAGCGATCATGGGTTCTTCTTCTAGAAATCTCTATGCAGGAATTGGAGAAGGTCAATCAACTTCTAGGCCACCACTCTTTGATGGCACCAACTACTCCTATTGGAAGGAACGGATGAGAATATATATTCGTTCCACCAACTTCCAATTATGGTTGGTGATCAAAAATGGCGAAGAAATCCCTATGAAGAAAGTGGGAGAAACCACGGTCCCAAAGACCGAGAACGAATTTGATGCCGAGGACATCAAGAAGATTGAGAATTATGCAAAGGCCATCAATATGCTATATTGTGCGGTCAACCCCGATGACTACCGAAAGATCTCATGCTGCACAACCGCCAAGGAGATGTGGGACAAGCTTGAAGTAACGTACGAAGGTACCGATCAAGTGCGTGAAGCCAAGATCGATTTTCTCACCCAAGAGTATGAAATGTTTCGAATGAAGGAAGGTGAGAGAATCGACGACATGTTTGATCGTTTCTCAAAAATCATAAACGATCTTCATACTCTTAAGAAGACATATACCAACAAGGATCTCGTAAGGAAAATCCTGCGAAGCCTCACCCCCGAATGGAGGTCAAAAGCCGATGCAATCTATGAATCCATTGGAGTCTCCAACGTCACCATCGAAGGGCTAAGAGGTAATCTTAAAACCTATGAATCTACTATTCTAACCCCATATTTGGATGAACAAAAGAAAAAAGGGGATAACTCTCAAAGCCACCAAGGAACCGGTGGAAGAGGTTTCAAGCGATGACGACAACGAATTTGGACTCGTCATCAAGAAGTTCCACAAGTTCATGAAGAAGGAATTTGAGCGGAAGGGAAGGAAGCACGATGGTCCTCCCAAGTGCTACGGCTGTGGCGAGATTGGCCACATCAAGCCAAGGTGTCCAAAAGCCAAAGACGGCAAGGACAAGCCCGGCTTCAAGAAGCAAAGGGCTTACATCTCTTGGGGCGGCGATTCTGGCGACGAATCAACCGACCAAGAGGAGGACGAAGCTGCAAATCTTTACCTCATGGCACACGAAGATCAAAACGACGACGTCCAAGAGGTATGTACCATTTCTTCCGACTCTTATACTTTTGAAGAAATGCAAGAAGCACTTCATGAACTTTATGAAGAATTTGTTAGCGCTTCTAAAACAAATAAATCTTTGAAGAAACGTCTTTCTTCACTTGAAAACGATTTTGAAAAATTGGAAAAAGAAAATGAAAAACTTAAACAAGAAAACAAATTTTTTGGAAAAAGAAGCGCTGACAAACCGGAAAGTTCCTCAAGTGAATGTGAGTCTTGTAAAGCTTTAAAAGAACAAGTTGCTAAACTTGAGAGCACGGTCAAGAAATTTAATACTCCTCACAAAGACTTAAATTTACTTCTTGACACTATGCATTTTTCTAAGGAAGGAATAGGTTTCAATAAAAATGAAACTAAGGTTAAAGAAAATGTTGAGCCACCACCTAGACAACCATCTAAGGTTCAACATAAGAAACCTAAAAATCAAAGTAATAGAAAACCTAGTCAACCTAAGGACACTAGACAACCTAGACCAAAACCTAGGAATGAAAATGGTCATGGTAGACAACCTAAGAAAAATGACTTTGTGCATAAAAACGAATTTTCACAAATTAGGAGAAATAATGTTAGAGCACCTAGAAAAGGCCAATTTCAAAATTTTCAAAGACCATCTTTTTCACAAAATAGGAACAAAATGGTTAAACTCTCTAACTACAATGAACCTAGGCACATGTACAACCCCAACGTAGTTTGCCATTGTTGTAATAGAATAGGCCATATTTCTCCCGTTTGTTACACTAGGCATAGGCACCTATCACAAAATCAAGCACACTACCATCACACACCTAACACACGAGGACCCAACGTAAATTGGGTACCTAAAACTCTTTGATGTGTTTCATAGGTGTGTTTGAAGGCATCAAGTGTACTTTGGTACCTTGATAGCGGATGCTCCAAGCACATGACCGGAGATGCATCCAAATTTCTCCAACTTAGGCCTGCTAAAGGAGGAAACGTAATCTTTGAAGATAATAGCAAGGGAAAGATTATCGGCATTGGTTCGGTAGGTAAATCCGAAAATTCCTCTATAGATAATGTCTTGCTTGTTAAAGGTCTTAAACACAATCTCTTGAGCATAAGTCAATTATGTGACAAGGGAAATCGTGTGACCTTCGATTCAAAATCATGCACAATAGAACGCCTTAGTGACAATAAGGTCATTCTACATGGTGATAGAATCGATAACATATATATGGTTAACTTAGACAAATCTCCTTCCGGCTTTGCTAAGTGCCTCATGAGTAAAGAGGAAGACACTTGGTTATGGCACCAAAGGGTAGCTCATATGAACACGAACCTTTTGAACAAATTGGTTTCACAAGACTTAGTAATTGGCATTCCAAAACTTAAGTTTGAAAAAGACACCATATGTGATGCATGTCAAAAAGGGAAGCAAGTTCGGGCTTCGTTCAAGTCTAAGAACGTTGTTTCAACGTCTAGACTGCTTCAACTTTTACACATGGATCTCTTTGGCCCTTCTAGAACGAAAAGTTTTGGTGGTAATTACTTTGCATTTGTGATTGTCGATGACTACTCTAGGTTTACATGGACCCTGTTTCTTACTCATAAAAGTGAAGCATTTCATGTTTTCAAAAATTTTCTAAAGAAAGTTCAAAATGAAAAAGGCACAACCATAATAGCCATAAGAAGCAACCATGGGGGAGAGTTCGAACGAAATCTATTTTCAGATTTGTGTGACGAACTCGGCATTGATCATAACTTCTCACCTCCACGTACACCACAACAAAATGGAGTGGTGGAACGCAAAAATAGATGTCTCGAAGAGATGGCTAGAACTATGATCAATGAGGCAAAAATCCCTAAGTATTTTTGGGCGGATGCCGTGAGTACCGCGAGCTACGTGTTAAATCGAGCCGTCATTCGACCGATACTCATGAAAACGCCCTATGAATTATACAAAGGGAGAAAGCCAAACCTTTCCCATCTTCGAGTCTTTGGTTGCAAATGTTTTATTCAAAATAACGGAAAAGATAACTTGGGAAATATTGATGCCAAGTCGGACGAAGGGATTTTTCTCGGTTACTCACTTCGTAGCAAGGCTTATAGAGTTTTTAATAAACGTACTTTGACTATTGAGGAGTCCCCTCATGTTGTGTTTTCCGAAGATAATACTCGCTTGGCAAGAAAGGCTATTTGTGATGATCTTGCATATTCTCTCGAAAGATTACACGTTGAATATGATGAAGAAGACACGCCATTATACACCAACCCGCAACCACAACCTGAGGAAACACCTCAAGTGATGGTCGAAAATGAAGACCAAGCAGACGAAGAAGAACAAGAGGAAGCCCAGTAACAAGAGGAAACCAAGCTTCCCATCGCTTGGAGAACACACAAGAACCATCCACTTGACCAGGTAATAGGCAGCATCAACCGCGGGGTAAGTACTTGTAACTCTCTTAGGGACACCGTAGGACACATGGCATTTGTTTCTCAAATTGAACCTACAACCATTTCCAAAGCAATAAACGATGAACATTGGACCTTGACTATGCAAGAGGAGCTAAACCAATTCAAACGGAATGACATTTGGGAATTGGTGCCAAGGCCCGATGATCGTACGATTAT